TCAGTTTGGATTTGTCTGATGTTTTCCCATGACTGGGCTGAGGTTATGCATTTTTGGCAAGAACAGCACAAAAGTGATGCCGTCACATCACCTTCCCTCTCTGTCCTGCACACACACAGGGGCCAGCAGTCAGGCAAAACACATGCAAAACGTTGCTGACGCCAGCTGTATATGAGTGTGCGGTTCTGTATTCCACCACTGTTTAACAATATCCTGTTGCTGTAGCTGTCTTTGTAACACAGGACTCTCAGAGCATGTTATTCTTAAAATTTCTCAAGTGAATCTTTGCCTTAGAAAGCTAGAAAACTTCCAAGATATTCTCTTTAGAAAAGGCTTTTATTATTCAAAGGGCTTTAACAATTACTTTTTTGGAGCCCAATTCTATAGTGAGTTAAAATAAATAAATAAATAAATAAGCTTTTGAGAGGACATTAATGGTTTTCATCAAATAGCTTCAGTTTTTAGAAGCTGCATCTGTTTAAATTTGAATGGTGGGATAGGGCAGGTTTATTAATTTGCATTACAAAGCCACAATTACTGAGCGAGGGCAGACATTTGAAGGATAGGAGGGAATACTTGATTTTATACAAATCACTAATTTCCTAGCAGAGAGCTAAGATTTATTCCTGAGGTTAATTATAAGCCACTTTTTTGGGGAATTGTATATGGATTGCTGTCAGTGCTCACAAATGATGGAATTTCTCTTGCTGTGCAGATGACAGGACATACCACTTTCAAGCAGAAGACGAACAGGAGTGTCAAATGTAAGTTACTTGGAGGTGGGACTTTGGTCTGGACTTAGCTGTTGTTCTTGGATTTGACCCAGCGTCACTGTTGTTTTTCTAGATGGATGTCTGTGCTGCAAAACAGCAAGGAAGAAGCTTTAAACAATGCATTTAAGGGAGATGACAATACGGGAGAAAATAACATAGTCCAAGAACTGACAAAGGAGATCATCTCAGAAGTGCAGAAGATGACAGGCAACGATGTGTGCTGCGACTGCGGCGCGCCAGGTGACCTGGCCCCACCCCACCCAAGCTCTGAGACATTTAAATCCCATTCCGATTCACAGAATCCATTCATTGATTTTCACTTTCATTTCAAACACTAAATTAAGTGCAGCTCAGCCTGAGTTCATCCCATTACGTGAATGCTTAATGAACTGTGTGCAGACTGCCATAGGGGAAAGGGGGTGGGGAGATGTTTGCCCGCCAGGCCCTCAGAGCAGGACCGAGTGAAGGTGGCCTGATATAGCTGAAAAGATTCAAGTGGTTTTTGAGAAATAAAAACTGAAGGGCACAGTGAGGGTGAGATCATCAGACTGGCTCTGAGAGGCTGTATGTCTGGGCGACTTTGACTGGGATTTATTCCATCCTCGCTTTGTCCTACTTTGTAGAACTTCTGAAGTAGTAACTTAAGCTGCTGTCTAGCTCTGCAACCCTGGGAGAACCACTTTCCTTTGTTAGACATCAGACTTTCCCTATCTGTAAAGTGAAGATACAGGCCCCTTCCACCTGTCATATTCTATGACTTGAGATGTTTATTTTTGCATTTTGATAAAGCATATTAGGGGCTTCGTTTTTAATGGACATATAGTATCATTGTGATTTTAACAGCTAGTATTTTAAAAGTTTAAGAAGTTGACTTATTCTAATTAAGATGGAATGGAATCATACAGTAGCCTTCTGAATATTTGTAAAATAAGGAAGATTGTCTAGAGTGGTCAGTTACCTTTTCATTCCTCTAATTCTATGACAATTTTTATAAAAAAATAAACACAACCAAAATAGAGTGGATAGTTGAGAAGTGCCATTAGGTTCCTCTTATCCTGAAGGCTAGATTTGGTCTTGGATCCATTAAAAAATATCTTTTTGACAGGAGCTGAGATAGAAGGCGGTAAACAATGAATTATGCTCTTTCCTGAGAAATGATAAGGACAATATAGTACTTGTCCTTATCATTTCTAAAAGATTTTTAAAAGACTTTCATAAAGAACTCTAAGCTGTATACATTGTTGTTTGAAAATGCTAACAGGATATGAGTGATATAAAAATTTGATATAAAGTATCTAAATGTATGCATGTATCTCCCAAAAGCATGATAGAAACAATAGAATAGGCATTGTTAAGTGCAAACACTGATGCCCAAAGTTTTCCCAGCATAGATATAATTTTTTATAACTTGAGCGTTTTTTAAATATGACTATGTAGTGACCTACGTTGCAGTATTTATCTGCTGCGAGTTCCTAAGGGCAACAAGCAATTCTGAAGAGAATTGTACTTATGGGCTGTATAGTGATGTTCTCAAGTATTTCTTATTTTTAGTTTCCTGTTTTTAGTAAATCCAGCTTCATCTGTCAGGCATTTCTTGGGTTGCTGTTGTGTGCTAAGCAAAGGTAGCATACTTCAGTGAGTAAGCAGACATGCTGCAAGGGAAAGTGTGGCTTTCAACTCAAGTAAATGCAGAGCTTACAGTCTGCTCTGCACATTGTCACAACCTCGAGTCAGAGCATTGCGAAGCTCTCTCAAGTGTCTATTGAGATAAGTATCCCTGCCCTAATCATCTGAGGGGGTTCTGTAATTTTTTACGCTCTTAACAGTGTAGACTGTAGTTGTTGCTACCAAACTGCTGAATGCAGCATATCCTAAGCACATAGTGTGTGTTCTTTATTGTTATTATTAGCAGCTATTGACATGTGTATTTTAAGTCTGTTCCCCTCATAGTACTACACTTTGGTGGGTCTTGTTTTTTTCTCTCACTCTACTGGTGTGACCGAGTTGATGATGGACATTGTCTTTATTCAGGACTGGCCCTTGAGGATCCCATGGTCACTTGGGTGCACTGTGTCCTATTTATTTTTGTATGCATGGTATCTGTCACTTAAATGAATGGAAGGATAGGAGATAGAGAGGGAAGAAAAGGAAGTAGACGTGTGCATATATGTGGCTTGCATGTAAATTGTGATAATTATGTATGAATGAGGGGTCCACCTGTGTCAAATATCAGAAAATGTTCATGCACGAAACTCCACGTTCAGTAACTGTGCAAGCTTAAATTTGTCCTGTTCCCTTTGGCAGATCCTACGTGGCTTTCCACCAACCTGGGCATTCTGACCTGCATCGAGTGTTCTGGAATCCACAGAGAGCTGGGGGTTCATTACTCCAGGATGCAGTCCCTGACCTTAGATGTATTGGGAACATCTGAGCTGCTGGTAATTTTAAAATCTTTGATTTTGGATTGGAAGTAAAGAAGCTGAAAGCTAAGTTTTTATCTTGGCATTCTAATCCATTTGGTTTCTAGAAAGTTCCAGTGGGCTGGTGGTTGTTGATATGTTGTAGATGGGTTTGGGTAATTAAAAACTCTGATAATTCCTCATTTTAGCTACTAGTGATTGAGGGCACTTCTTGTCGTAAAACCTTATTCTTAAATGAATAAAAGGAAGTGAAACCAAAAACCGAGTGTTGAAACTGGTGTAAAATTCTGCTGAAATGGAATAGGATGGTGGCACTGTCCAGTCTATTCCATCCATTGAACAGATGGGGAACCCAAAGCCTAGAGACAGTAAAGGATTCCTTCTTCCTCAGTCGCCACCTGTGACAATGCTGTGGTCACTACTTGCNTCAGACTGGCTCTGAGAGGCTGTATGTCTGGGCGACTTTGACTGGGATTTATTCCATCCTCGCTTTGTCCTACTTTGTAGAACTTCTGAAGTAGTAACTTAAGCTGCTGTCTAGCTCTGCAACCCTGGGAGAACCACTTTCCTTTGTTAGACATCAGACTTTCCCTATCTGTAAAGTGAAGATACAGGCCCTCTTTGTCCTACTTTGTAGAACTTCTGAAGTAGTAACTTAAGCTGCTGTCTAGCTCTGCAACCCTGGAAGAACCACTTTCCTTTGTTAGACATCAGACTTTCCCTATCTGTAAAGTGAAGATACAGGCCCCTTCCACCTGTCATATTCTATGACTTGAGATGTTTATTTTTGCATTTTGATAAAGCATATTAGGGGCTTCGTTTTTAATGGACATATAGTATCATTGTGATTTTAACAGCTAGTATTTTAAAAGTTTAAGAAGTTGACTTATTCTAATTAAGATGGAATGGAATCATACAGTAGCCTTCTGAATATTTGTAAAATAAGGAAGATTGTCTAGAGTGGTCAGTTACCTTTTCATTCCTCTAATTCTATGACAATTTTTATAAAAAAATAAACACAACCAAAATAGAGTGGATAGTTGAGAAGTGCCATTAGGTTCCTCTTATCCTGAAGGCTAGATTTGGTCTTGGATCCATTAAAAAATATCTTTTTGACAGGAGCTGAGATAGAAGGCGGTAAACAATGAATTATGCTCTTTCCTGAGAAATGATAAGGACAATATAGTACTTGTCCTTATCATTTCTAAAAGATTTTTAAAAGACTTTCATAAAGAACTCTAAGCTGTATACATTGTTGTTTGAAAATGCTAACAGGATATGAGTGATATAAAAATTTGATATAAAGTATCTAAATGTATGCATGTATCTCCCAAAAGCATGATAGAAACAATAGAATAGGCATTGTTAAGTGCAAACACTGATGCCCAAAGTTTTCCCAGCATAGATATAATTTTTTATAACTTGAGCGTTTTTTAAATATGACTATGTAGTGACCTACGTTGCAGTATTTATCTGCTGCGAGTTCCTAAGGGCAACAAGCAATTCTGAAGAGAATTGTACTTATGGGCTGTATAGTGATGTTCTCAAGTATTTCTTATTTTTAGTTTCCTGTTTTTAGTAAATCCAGCTTCATCTGTCAGGCATTTCTTGGGTTGCTGTTGTGTGCTAAGCAAAGGTAGCATACTTCAGTGAGTAAGCAGACATGCTGCAAGGGAAAGTGTGGCTTTCAACTCAAGTAAATGCAGAGCTTACAGTCTGCTCTGCACATTGTCACAACCTCGAGTCAGAGCATTGCGAAGCTCTCTCAAGTGTCTATTGAGATAAGTATCCCTGCCCTAATCATCTGAGGGGGTTCTGTAATTTTTTACGCTCTTAACAGTGTAGACTGTAGTTGTTGCTACCAAACTGCTGAATGCAGCATATCCTAAGCACATAGTGTGTGTTCTTTATTGTTATTATTAGCAGCTATTGACATGTGTATTTTAAGTCTGTTCCCCTCATAGTACTACACTTTGGTGGGTCTTGTTTTTTTCTCTCACTCTACTGGTGTGACCGAGTTGATGATGGACATTGTCTTTATTCAGGACTGGCCCTTGAGGATCCCATGGTCACTTGGGTGCACTGTGTCCTATTTATTTTTGTATGCATGGTATCTGTCACTTAAATGAATGGAAGGATAGGAGATAGAGAGGGAAGAAAAGGAAGTAGACGTGTGCATATATGTGGCTTGCATGTAAATTGTGATAATTATGTATGAATGAGGGGTCCACCTGTGTCAAATATCAGAAAATGTTCATGCACGAAACTCCACGTTCAGTAACTGTGCAAGCTTAAATTTGTCCTGTTCCCTTTGGCAGATCCTACGTGGCTTTCCACCAACCTGGGCATTCTGACCTGCATCGAGTGTTCTGGAATCCACAGAGAGCTGGGGGTTCATTACTCCAGGATGCAGTCCCTGACCTTAGATGTATTGGGAACATCTGAGCTGCTGGTAATTTTAAAATCTTTGATTTTGGATTGGAAGTAAAGAAGCTGAAAGCTAAGTTTTTATCTTGGCATTCTAATCCATTTGGTTTCTAGAAAGTTCCAGTGGGCTGGTGGTTGTTGATATGTTGTAGATGGGTTTGGGTAATTAAAAACTCTGATAATTCCTCATTTTAGCTACTAGTGATTGAGGGCACTTCTTGTCGTAAAACCTTATTCTTAAATGAATAAAAGGAAGTGAAACCAAAAACCGAGTGTTGAAACTGGTGTAAAATTCTGCTGAAATGGAATAGGATGGTGGCACTGTCCAGTCTATTCCATCCATTGAACAGATGGGGAACCCAAAGCCTAGAGACAGTAAAGGATTCCTTCTTCCTCAGTCGCCACCTGTGACAATGCTGTGGTCACTACTTGCCACAAGCCTCCAGTGACTTTTCCTCTGCGCCATATTGTCCCCCTTGGGAGAGATATTGGTCTTTGTTTTTAGTGCCTTTGTTTCTTTAAAGTCTTTCATTCTTGGTTCAATGAAAACGCATAAGCCACATGATAGAGATATGAGGAGACTGAAGCATTTTCTATGAAGTTGCTTTCAGAATTTTGAGACTGTGACCCCACTGAGTAGCAAGGCATAAATCAGACCTAGGTTGTGCTTTTGGCCACCTGAAACATAAGTTCTTTTGGACTATTTTCAAAGTTCATAATTGCTGGTTAGAAAGCATTGCTTGAAATTCTTTCTTGGGGTAGCTGGACATTGGACAGTAAATAGTAAGTGAATATTGATTGCCATTGATTTTGATGTCAAGAGCAGTACTCTTGACAGAAAATCAATTATTGTGGTCAGTATTCCTCTCCAGGGACCATAACTCTTATTGATGACTACTCTAGATCCAATGTGTCTGAATTTCTAATGCATTTTGAACTACCTTGTTGAACCCTCCCAATCTTTCCAAGGAATTCTTTTATGGTCTGAAAAGACAGAGTTGGGAGAAACTAGAGTGGATCCTGGTAGCCTAGTTAATAACATGTCTGGTTACTTAAAATTTAAAACTAAGCTAGGCTCAGCAAGACCCAAGCAATGCATCCTTGGTTACATGCTATGTTATTGTTAATGTAATATATATAATAATGCAATTGATAATGCATATAGCTTACATCTTAAAGTTGTGTATGTGTACATGTGGTATCTCCTGGGTAACTGATGATGGCATCGATTTGAGATTGTCACAGTATATTTTCAAAGAGACACAAATTATTTCTCAGTAAATACTGGTGAACTATGGCAGTTGCTACTGTATCACTAATTTTGTTAAAACAGTGGGAAACGTTAAATGATTTATGCTGAAATAATGGCTGTTTATTTTGTACTAGGCACTTTGCAAACCACTTTATATGTGTTAGCCAATTTGATCTTTACAACAACCTGATGACCTTGGTATGTTATCCCCACTTTACAAAGGAGGAAACTGAGGCTTAGAATCTTTTTAAATGCCCAAGATTCTATAGCTATTAAGGTGACAGATCTGGGATGAGGGCCTCTTTAATCTGATTCCAGAGCTCACACTCTTAACCTCCGAGGAACTTGGGACATGAACTGGCATTTGTGGTGGGCTGTCTTGCCATGTGATAAACATTTAAACATCACTACTGTCCCTCTCCATTGCCCATCTGCAACAAATATTTAACAGCCAACTCTAGGGAAAAAGAACTCTGGTTGTCAGTCTGCCTGTTTCCGTGGTATAAATACTCCCACCATGGCCACTTTCAAGCTATACCTATGAATTACTGAATGTGGAGTTGGGAAGAGATGGTTGTAGCACACCATTACATAGTACATTCTCTATACAAACACAGAGGACGTGAGTAACGTCAAGAACAGCAGTAATAGTAAAATGTAAAATAATTAGGAAGTGATGAGTTTTGAGTATCTCATACCTAAGTTTTTGATATGATTTATTTAATTATGAGATTATGTAGTGTAATTTTTAGTGGTAGTGGTGCTTAACAGTTGGCTCTCCAAATTCCTGAAGATTTGACAATTGGCTCTCATGAGCCTGACCCCACCATCTGCTATAACTGCCTAAATGTGTCTCAAAACTTTAGCTAATGATCTTCATGAGATCCTGTTGCATACTAAAGAGGAAAATGCTAAAGAAGGCTGAAAGGAATATGTTTTTTCCATCTTGATGAAACCATGAGGTGACTTCTAATCCCTGGTTCCAATCTCAGTTTTGTCTCCCAGAGCCTCTCTCTATTCTCATAGAAGTTTAAAGTTTGGCCAACTCTCAGCCTTATGAGAAATCAGGCAGAGTGTGCTTAATTAATATATGCAAATATTTTCAAAATCTAATTTCTGCCATAGTTTTAAACTCTTCCTTATCTAAGCCTCTTTATCTCAATGGCTATGAGAAAACCAAAAGGATAGAAGGTGCTGAATTGTGTGGGGTTCTATTCCTACCCTCTGCTTGCCCCTGAATTCTGGCTGATCTTCTGGTGTTTCTTAGGAGGTGTATGTCTCCCTGCTTTTCCCCCCAGTGCCCATTTCTTGTGTGCTAGGACTGTGGGCATGTGTCCGC